GAGAGAGAGAGAGAGAGAGAGAGAGAGAGAGAGAGAGAGAGAGAGAGAGAGAGAGAGAGAGAGAGAGAGAGAGCTCAAAGCATCTGACGGGAACCTGTCTTGTCTGTTCGATTTCCTCACAGATCTAGTTGTTGCTCCCACTTGTATCCTTTCTTCCTCCCTTTCAGATTGACCCTCGCATAGTCACGAGGGTACACTAGAAGAGATCGTTAACGCGTTTAACAGTGAAATAGTTTATATATTTTTTTTTAGTTTATCTATGAAACTAGCCAGTCCTTCCCGTTCTCTTTCCTTCTCATATTGCTTGGTTCGCTCTTCTTCCTCCTCGGCTCCCATTCCGCACCATCTCCCTTTTCCATCCTGCTGGCTTGTCCCTGCGACTCACAGCTGAAGGGGCGGCGCAGAGAACAGCCACGGGTCTATTCCAGAGGGGTTTTCCCTAAAGACCTCTGTGTGTGTTGTCCATAGCGAATGCGGGGTCGTCTAGTGAATTGGATTACGTCTTTCGGCAGTTAGACATAGAACTCATGCAACAGCAGCCATGTGTAGGACATGAAGGCCAATCCATAGACAGGGATGAAAGAGAGGAAGAAGAAGAAGAAGAAGAAGAAGAAGAAGAAGAAGAAGAAGAAGAAGAGATGATGAAGTGTTCTCCTCATCGCTTTCATTACGTTTTTTCTCTGGAAGTGTAGTACATAAAGGCCAATCCATAGATTGTCTTTCGGCAGTCAGTGAAAGTGTTCTCCTCATCGCTTTCATTACGTTTTTTCTCTGGAAGGGTTCGTGCTGCTCGTAGAAGATAATGAAATTTTGCTTCGATGATGACGACGGTCATCGTCGTGGATGGTCACGGTTTTCTCCCCTTTAAACCACTGCAGTACTTCCTAGAGTCGTGCCATTTAACGCGCCACGATTTTAGGAAACGTACGGGCCACTACAGGAGCGCCCAAAGTCATCCGACTAGAAACGTTTCTTCTCTAGTTTTTTCCGCGGCCGATAGCTGGGCCAAGTACTGGTGGTTTAAAGGGTGGGGGAGGGGTGGGGGCGCGAGGGGAGATTGGGAGGATCTGGTGCGGAGGAGAAATTAGATTGCTTCGTTCTGTCCTTCGGGACAGCCGTTAATATTGGAACGATACAGCGAAAGAAGATTAGGATGGCCCCTGCGCAAGGATTGCGCGCACACATCGAGAAATTGTCCCGAAAGAAAAAAAGAAAAAAAGAAAAAAGGCTGCTCCGTTCGTCACTAGAGTGTAGGGTTCAAAAAACAAAAGAAAAAAAAAGAAAAAAAAAAGAAAAAAAAAAAAGAAAGAAAGGAAAAGAAAAGGGTGTAGGGAGCTCTCGAAGTCTGTTATTTGACGGAATGTGGGCTGATCTGACATTCCGGTGCCGACGCGATGCGCGTGCTGCGTCCTGCAGTGGACGGAGCTGCTGTGTATTTTATGATTTTACTTTTCTATTTTTTTTACTGATTTTTTAGTTGTTATTTTAAATGAAAATTTTCCCCTTCTTTCAGAGTAAAAAGACATTTAGAAAAGGAAAAAAATAAATAAAGGCATCTAGAGCAGGTCCAGCTGTAAGGAGCGGTCCGTACTGTCGTCGGGCATATAAGTTTTTTTTTTTTCCACATATGTTTTAATTTTAAGTCAACGTAGAAATACTCTGTCGTCGCAGCTGTATATTCCACCATTAGCACATCCATGCATATATGGAGACAGCATCGGACAGCACAATTTTTTTTTTTTTTTTTTTTTTCGAAGAAGATAGAAGGGTGAGGCCGGGAAATCAGGCCTTGCTGGGCTATTTATTTATATTTATGTTATAGAGAAATTTATTTATATTTATGTTATAGAGAAATCGGGCTGGTATATGGGCCTCTTCAACAGTTCTATCCTGTTTTTACTTTTGTTTGTTGTTTCCCCTTTTCTCCTGAAAAGGAGAAGCCCTTACTGAGGCCCCACTACCGTCTTCCCCCGAACGAACGTAAGACCCGCCCGTCACAACTGTATCGAATGCAGCTTTCAGGGCGGATACAGACATCATGACCAGGCGTTGTGCTGGGAGGGATGAATGTAGCGGGGGATTCTTCTCTCTATTCTAACCGTTTCTCTGTGAATTCGACGTTTGGAAATGGAATTTTTTGAGAAGGCTAAATAAGTGGGCAGCTGGCCCGCGGAAAATGGGCAGTGTTTTTTTTTTTTTTTTTTTTTTTTTTTTTCCCTTGTCATCCTTGCGCAGGGGCCATGCTAATCTTGTCTGTATCGTTCCAATTTTAACGGATGTCCCGAAGGACCAGTTTTTTCTTTTCACTTTGTGTCCGCTGAAAGGTTATGTCGAACGAGATTTGAGTGCGCACGCTGATTACATGTGTAGTGCCTCTCGGAGTTAAAGAGAAGGGCCACGTTTTAGGTGTGTCCAATTTAGCCACGTGGTGCAGGTTTTTTTTTTTTTGTTTTTTTTTGGGACAAGTTTTCGATTTATGCGTGTCACCCTTGCGCGGGGGCTATGCTAATCTTTTTTCTCTGTGTCGTTCCAATTTTAACGGATGTCTCGAAGGACGGTAGTTTTTTTTTTTTTTTTTTTCTCGATTTATGCTTGTCATCCTTGCGCAGGGGCCATGCTAATTTCCTTTCTCTGTATCGTTCCAACTTTAACGGATGCCATAGAAGGACGTAGGGTGTGTTTTTGGGTAGGTCCCATTTGGCCACGTTTTGTAGTGCTATTTTAGGAATGTCAGGTCCAGCCACGCGGGGAGATAGTGCTACTCCGTGGTAAGGGAAGGGTTGAGCGCTGAGAAAAAGAGGAAAAAAAGAGAGAAAAGAAAAGGTTGAGTGTTGTGTTCTCGGTATTTCCCATTCACCCCCGCAGCGCTTTGCCACTTGGCGTTAAGGGAAGGGTTTAGGGTTTAGAGCTAGGGGTTTAGGATTTAGACCATTGTGCTAGCTCTCTGAATGGACTTGGTCCCTTTTTCAGACCAAATAAGGGCCTGTGGGCCGCTGTTTGCTTGCAACGAAAGATGGGCAGTTGAAACTCTTGGTTTGGTTTCCCTCCTCGGCGGCTTCTACAGTGCCTTTTTTCCTCTCTACCTCCCCACATCCCTTTTACCCCCCCCCCCCCCCCCCCCCCCCCCCCCCCCCCCCCCCCCAACCACCACCACCACGTTCCACTGAACGGCAAAATGTCGTATCAGACATCATCCACCTATCCGGACGTGCAATGCACCTGGCGTTGTGAACGTCCAGGTGCGTTCTGACATTGCTAATCTTTTGAGATTCCGGGTGTGATGGTGTCTGAACGGCAAACTGTAGCAATAGACATCATCCAGCTATCTGGACCTGCAATCCACCTGGCGTTGTGAACCGTCCAGGTGCACTCCAACTTTGCTAATCTTTTGAGATTCCGGGTGTCATGATGTCTGAACGGCAAAATGTAGCAATAGACATCATCCAGCTATCTGGACCTGCAATGCACCTGGCGTTGCGAACGTCCAGATGCACTCAACTGTGCTAATCTTTTGAGATTCCGGGTGTGGCGGTGTCTGAACGGCAAAATTGTAGCACTAGACATCATCCCCGTATCTGGACGTGCAATGCACCTGGCGTTGTGAACGTCCAGGTGCACTCTGACATTGCCAATCTTCAGATTCCTTCTGGGTGTGGTGCCTGGCAATCACGTGCCTATCGTGGTGCCTTCATTCCTAACGGCGGCACATGACTGCATCCAATGCCGTGATTTCGAGAGTTGGGAAGTGCTTCAAGAAGTTATTAGTATAGTACCAGCTCAGCGTCTGTCTCTCCGGAGATCCGTGTGAACTTGAACAATACACAGCAGATAGCGTGAGCATCTGATGAGGTTGTTGCGGTCATCATGCAATGATCCGCTCAGATGTAATGATGTAATCTCCACACAACATGCACAATGAAAACTCACACGGAGATTCACACCAAAGCCAGAGATGGACACCGAATCAAATCAATGCAGCTTGGAAACTGCAGTGAATACTCGTATTATACAAATTCAGAGTTCAAATAGCCAGCGCTCCTCAGCGACCCAACAACAACCTCAATCAAGTAGCGGCTATCCGTCTCTCTCTCTCTCTCTCTCTCTCTCTCTCTGGTTGCTCTCTCCACACTTGTATCACTCTGGCTCTCTCTCTCTCTCCTCTCTCTCTCTGTGGTTGCTCTCTCAATACTTGTATCGCTCTGGCTCCTCTCGCTCTCTCTGTGGTTGCTCTCTCAATACTTGTATCGCTTTCTCTCTCTCTCTCTCTCTCTCTCTCTCTCTCTCTCTCTCTCTCTCTCTCTCTCTCTCTCT